GAGAGAGAGAGAGAGAGAGAGAGAGAGTTATTTGTCTCTTTATGATGAATCGCTTGTTGTGTTCCTCATTTGTAAGGGCTTAATGATTGCAATAAGTTAAAAAAAATATTTACATATTATCAATTGCTACATTTTACATTATATTTTCAATGTATTTTTAATTAATTAATTCATTCATTCATTAATTTTTATTTGTTTTTACATTTTATTTATCTTTGTTTTATTATTTGTTTTTGTTGATTTGTTGATTTCTGAATCAATTTACTTATTTCTTGTATGATCATTACTTGGTCCTCATATAGGTTTAGAGTTACTCCAGATCAACTCAAACCGCAGCAAACATAAATGGCACCTGAGGACGTGAATATTCCTGGACCATCTAGCGTTATATGTGACCCAACCGTCCATTATCATAATTCAGCTTCCTGTTGGTGTCAGTCACGACCGGCTCTATGTTTCTGACAGACGTGGGATCTCATTTCACTGACTCTGGCAGAGGGTCTAGACGGCGTGTGATGCTTTCTGACGCCGTCTTATAATTAATGGAGCCGGCAGCCGTTTGAGCGATGGGCTGGCCTCTTTACAGGGATATCACATGCTGGAGAGCTTTTGCATCAGAAAAAGGGTGTAAATGTGCATGCCAGTTTGGGCTTATTTTTATCTGTGCAATTGAATCTATTTTCATCTATGCATTATAGCTTTAAGAAAGTCAGATCTAAAGTAGGTCGAAACCAAAATAAGTGTCAATAACAGAATGTATGGTGCATGACTTAAATATTAATGCATCTCCTTGAAATCAGAGTGGTGCATTCAGAGAGATGAACTTGCTGACTTTGTCACCTTTGAGCTGTTTGTGTACCACAATATTGCACTGAAAAAATAAAAATAAATAAAAAACTACATAGGCTGTGAATTTTCCAACTTCCAAAATCAAACATAACCTAGAAGTTACATATTTCTGACTTATTTTACACATGCAACGTCACAAGGGAATACATTAACTGATTTTATGTAAATACATGAAAGCTGACAAATACATATGATTTGTCTTATTTTGTGAGAAAAAACAAACAAACAAAAACCGGTATATCCCATAGGATTTTTTTTTTTTGCTCAGTGGTCTTCCTAAACTCAGGAGACTGAGATTATCATATACCTCTCATTTTATTACCAACAGCATTTCAGATGTTTCTCCTAAAATTCCTTAGGAGAAATAGAAGTAGACACAACTGAGACATGATAAATATTTGAGAAAAAAAAAAGAGTCAAAACTGAGAATGTGGTGGAAGAAACATAGAATATCTCTTTATTGTCTTGCTGCAATCTCTATCAAGACTCCATTATAGGGATATTTTATTGCTCAGTGGTTGCTCTTTCTAACCTCAGGAGACTCGAAAATGAGACACGTCTCAACAGTGTCTCAGATGTCTCTCCAAAAAATCCTTAGGAGAAATAAAAGTAGACATAACTTTATGAACACATGACTTTATGAATTTCTTCACTGATAAAATAGATAACATCAGAAATACAATAACAAATGTAGATTCTATAGCGTATAATACTTCAGCTTCATTCATCGCACCAAAAGATAAACTGCAGTGCTTTACAACTATAGGACAGGAAGAGCTAAATAAACTTATCACTGCATCTAAACCAACAACATGCCTGTTAGATCCTGTACGCACTAAATTACTGAAAGACTTGTTACCTGTAACAGAAGAACCGCTTCTCAATATTATTAACTCGTCGTTGTCTTTAGGTCACGTCCCAAAACCATTCAAGCCTCTTATTAAGAAACCACAACTAGATCCTAGTGAACTGGCAAATTACAGACCCATCTCAAATCTTCCTTTTATGTCTAAAATTTTAGAAAAAGTTGTGTCTGCTCAATTGTGTTCCTTCCTGCAAAAAAATTATCTCTCTGAAGAATTTCAGTCAGGTTTCAGGCCCCACCATAACACAAGTCCTCTGCACAATGTGACTTTGCTGCAGCCTGGAATTGAACTGCTGGTGTCGTCTGGTCAGAGGAGAACTGGCCCCCCGACTGAGCCTGGTTTCTCCCAAGGTTTTTTCTCCATTCTGTCACTGATGGAGTTTTGGTTCCTTGCCACTGTCGCCTCTGGCTTGCTTAGTTGGGGACACTTCATTTCCAGCGATTATCGTTGACTTGATTGCAAAGATACTATTTAAACTGAACTGAGCTGGATGATGACATCACTGAATCCAATGATGAACTGTCTTTAACTGAAAAATTAGTGTTTACGATTGTCATTTTGCATTATTGACACACTATTTTCCTAATTAATGCTGTTCAGTTGCTTTGACACAATCTGTATTGTTAAAAGCGCTATATAAATAAAGGTGACTTGACTTGACTTGACAACTGAGACATGAGAAAGTTCTGAAAGGAACCCAAAATGACAATGTGACAGAACTATGTGAGAAAAATGGGAGACCACTTTTTTGTCTTGCTGTAATCTCTTGCAAGACTCCATTACAAAAATGTTTTACTGCTCAGAGGTTGCAGTTGCTTTTTTATTGCAATGGGGGTTTTTACCTTTAATGGTCAGGACAGTAGGAGTAGAGACAGGAAACAAATGTACAGGTGAGAATTGAACAGGAAAGTACCTTTAGCTGGGATTCGAACCCATGTTGTTTGAGATGGTTATGCCTTCACATCGTTGTGCTACCCACAAGGCTATGGCTCTGACAGAGATCACTCTATGCTCAGGATACTAAGGGGTGATTCTCTTATATGTCTCATTGAGATATCAGCTTTGTCTTAAGATGTCTTCAGTTTTATTTTAGGAGAAACGTTAAACTTTTACTAATATTGCCAATACTAAAACTATCATTTAAAATAGCATTAAACATTTCAGAACATTTACGTTTACATTTATCTTCAATGTCCAGCATTTTATACACCACATTTTCCAAACACACTAGAAAGGGCTTACAAGTGCAAGATGTTTAGTATAAGAGCAATACCTTTTTTAACAAATGTAACACTATACCAGTGTACCTTTTTTTCTTCTTCTTTGTTTAGCATTACAATTTTATCTTGTACAGCCCATTTTTGCATGTATGCAAATATAGGTTATGGTTTCCTCTGTTAAATCATTGTGCAATAAAACACTGTCTACATAAAACAACTTCAAATATGACAATGCATGTATCATCTTTGATTGAAATGGTGAGGATAAATGACATTGAAGCTAAACAGAGCAAAGAAAAATTAAATAAAAAAGAGATCTCTTTAACATTTCAAATATTTCTCATATACAGAAGTTAGCTTACTTTAAGATTGAATGGAAACTTTTGCTTGAGTCTCCTGCTTCTCAAACTTGTCTCCTGAGACAAAAACTCTAACACTCTCACAGAGGTCTCCTTTAAAGTTTTAGAAGAGATCTCAACAACATCACACACTGTGCTCAAATATTTCTCCTTGTCTAAAGACTATGATTGTCTCATATTTGTCTCCTTTAAAGTTTTAGAAGAGATCTCAACAACATCACACACTGTGCTCAAATATTTCTCCTTGTCTAAAGACTCTGATGGTCTCACATTTGTCTCCTTTAAAGTTTTAGAAGAGATCTCAACAACATCACACACTGTGCTCAGACATTTCTCCTTAGCTAGAGACACTGGATCTCTCACATTTGTCTCCTCTAAAGTTTAGAAGAGATCTCAAGACAAATATGAGACCACCCGAGTATTTAGACTAGGAGAAATGTCTGAGCACAGTGTGTGATGTTGTAGAGATCTCTTCTAAAACTTTAAAGGAGACAAATATGAGACCATCAGAGTCTTTAGACAAGGATAAATATTCGAGCACAGTGTGTGATGTTGTTGTGATCTCTTTTAAAGCTTTAAAGGAGACCATTGTGAGAGTGTTAGAGTTTTTGTCTCAGGAGACAAGTTTGAGAAGCAAAAATCTCAATTCGATCTTGAAGTAACCTCATTTCTGTCTAGGAGAAATATATGAAATGTTAAAGAGATCTCACTTTTGATTTTTCTTTCCTATGGGATGATGGAAAGTTTTTCTTGATAGTTTTGAAAATGTTAGGCCTTTTTGCATATCAGGGTGCATTATCTATACTGAAGTGGCTTACTGGAGTCTTGGAAGTAGACGTCTTTGCCATTGTAGGCGTTTCGCAGCTTGTTGGTCATCACTCGCAGGGTCATGATCTGCTGTCTGATAAAGGTGTCTGGTCTAGTGATGTCCACTTCCACCTCTGGGTTATTGAGCTGGTTCGTAAGGCCATCTTTAACAACTTCAGGGAAATATCTGGAAATCAACAAGAAAACATTTGGTGGGAATATTTTAATCACAATTGTTCACAGTTGGGGTTCAACAAACACATAAATGATTCACTTTTTTGAATCTATGAATTGATATAAATCTATATTTGATTACAAATCTTAAAAAGCAAAGTCAAGCGACACAAAGGCAAATGCATTTATGTACAAAAACCTATTAAATTAAACAAAAATCCTATTTTTTTCAAACACATGCCCAAATTACATGCCTTGAAATTCATTTTCTACAGCCGATTATAATAAAACCTTAAACAGGTGTATTTTTTGGTGCATTTGAGGCGGTAACGTGCTCAAGTGTTGTTGTTGACTCAAGCAGGACCCCATCAGGAGCGACTTTAGCAGGATCAGCACCTCTCACATTCACATTAACATGCCCTGCAGCTCTGCATTGTGTGCAGAATGACTTCATTTGCAATATTCACTTGCACTATGTGCATCAGAAGTCAGCATTTTCGCATCGCCCTGCGTTGTATAACACAAGAATAATGTGAGGCTGCAGGCTGCACTTTCACCTATAGCGTGAAAATCACCTTGGTTTGTAAAGGTGCAAACATTACAACTAGATCTGCATTTCTTGAAGGAAATGTTGTGCTTGCAAGGTAGCTAATAAATGTGTTAACGTTTTAGTTAAGCAAATCAGAAACGCTTTGAGCTAAAATGTATTGTAAAACAGATAGTTCTAGTACATTTTTATATAAAGATGGACATTAGCATAAATATGAAATGAAAATAAATTGAAAATAATATACAACATGAACATACAATATGAAAATAAATTTAAAAGAAATCACAATGCAGTATGCAAATGCTGTAATAACAATGTTGTAAATTAATAGATCATCATTCTAACAATGTCAGTGGGAGACTCTCATCCTTTAAAATTATTGAATTTATTTAAATACATTTATTTGAATTTATTGAAACACTATGCAACCAGTTTCTGTCTAAAATTTAATTAAAAAGGTAACTGTGAACAGGATTAAAATAAGAAATTATAGTCAAAACTAATTTATTTAAATACATTTACTTGAATGTATTGAACATTATAAATCCAAACATTACCAGTTTCTACCTAAAACAAAATAAAAAAGGATAAAGTTTAAAATAAGAAAGTAAAGTCACAATTATCTTTTCGAATGAGCCACATAAAGACGTTTGTAGAGTCTATGATTCACACTGAATTAATTGCATATATAATTTTGCCTTTACTGAATTTCTGCCGCTTTATCTCGACCCTGTGAGTCAGTATAAACACATGTTGCAGCATTATGCATGCATCGAACACTATTGAGATCTAATCTCCTAATAAGCGCTTTAGCAGGAGGTAATTGTTTGTGCCTAATTAATATTTCAGGTGGTGCTTTGTGGAAAAATAAATGAAACTTGTTGAATGCTCCCAGGTTGCGGCTTCACAAATGTGCTTCTATTCAAATTCAATCCATGTGGTTTTTAAGCAGTAATTAGCCAATAATGAGACTGTTGTACTCCATAGAGAACAGATCTAACAGACAAAAATAAATATATAAATACAAATAAATAAATAATAAAAATCAAATCACATGTATTTTACCTCCACTTGCTCTCTGGTATATTTGTGTTAATTTGTCTTTTAAGTACTTAAAAAAACAGTCTTCACACAGTAAGGGTCATTTACATGATGAGGCCGCTTGGAAAGAAAATGAAACACATCTTACATGGCACCATCTGCTGATATTATCAGTCGTGGAGGACTGAAAAGTGGACGGGTTTTCTGCCAAGCCGTCTGGCTTATTGTCAAAGGCGGGCAGACGGAGTGACAGACATCATGGCATATTCCAATGAGATGAAGTGAGATGAACTGAAGCTACTCTAAAACCACAGGTCTCTCAATCCATTCAAAAGGTTTTATTGTTTTTTATTCTACACACACACACACACACACACACACACACACACACACACACACACACACACACACACACACACACACACACACATATATATATAT